TAACTATTATACTTTAGAGTTATTTAATTATTTAATTGGTGAGTAGTAATAAGTTTAACGCTTGAGCAATGAATTGCACTAGCCGCACTAACTTCCCGGTAATGAACTTCAAATACAACTCTGATTCTGAGATACCATTGGGAAGAATTACAGTTTGATCCAGTATGCGAAAACATTGCGAGATAAATCCCCCTCACCTCATTCATCGCTTGTCGAGCTGTAATCACCTGAGTCCTATTATTGGTGCATTGATATCTTCGTCTCATCGTATAATTAACTAACTCCTTTACTGATTTTTTTTCCCATCCAGTGAGTTATCAGTCGTGCATCATGGACCATACCAAAAGGCATCATGATAACCCCGATTGAGCTTAATAAAGTTCCCCTCCTAATCCTAGATATATATGGAGAAAGAAAATCTCACAGGAAAGTTTTCCCTGTCAAACATGCATTACACTATTCTCTACACTTAGCTGCCAACACTTCAATCAATAGCTAACTCATTCTTCTCGCTTTTACACTTTGACCCCTGTGTCATGAATGCTTTTGTTTGTATGTGTTGAATAGCAAGAAAAAGGTTTATTCAGTAGTAGAGGTATAACAATTATAATAAAACAATGTTATTTGATGGTGAAATTATTATTATTTAAATTATTTTTTTTGAAATTATTATTTATTATCTATTTAACCGTCAGTTAAAGGTTGAGTTATACGCGACGAAGCAGTCGTTTTGTGATCCTCGACAGAGAGGAGTTATTTTTGAATGCCCAGAATGCATTTATTGGGGGGCTTCTATATTGACCCCAAGTGGTTGGGTTTAAGATACTAGCTCCATTTACGGTTCTTACAAAGTCGACAATAATTTCACTGATAAAAGAAATATTTGCATAAAAGATTAGATTGCTTTATAAGATCCTCTTCTTAAGAGGAAAATTGCATAGAACCATTTCATCAGATATACAACTTCCTGATTAGCAGATGTGCTCAATCTCAACATCAAAGGAGAAGATATTTTACACGATTGACTTTATGACAACAGACTCATCGCTTTTGATACAGAAAACGTTGTGCACATTTTTATATAATGTGATGAGTCTTCATAACAGAAATGCTTTTTACAACAAATTCTTCAGCTGTTTGGACATATTACAATTCCCTTCGGTTTTTTTCGATAAATAATGTTTGCAAAAAAGGAACTTACTAATAGACATGGCACATATTTTTTTACCCAAACTAGCAGACAGACGAATGCGATGGCTGTAGAGGAGGAAAAAATTGTTAGTTCTACTGATAATGATGCCAATTGATTTCTATAAAAAGATTACTTAAGATGGATCCAATCCTGTAATCCGGTATAGAATATGATTGCAGTGATGGAATAACAGCGGCAGGCAGTAAAAAAGCACAGAAGGATTCGCAACCTGAAGAGTTACGAAGAGGCCCAGTCAAATGGTGGAAAGCCTTAACCAAAGATTGAGTCTAAGTCCAAGCCTAAGCCTAAAGCCCAGGCTTAAACCTATAGCCCATGCTGTTGGACTGTCGAAGTGCTACTTCTCGCTGTTGAATCGTTGTCAAATTGAATGCTTGGCTAATCTGTCGCCTTGAGTACTTTGCGTTAACTCTCCGGTTGAATGACTCAGCAAGCTGTAGGATTTCGTAGCTAGAGTTCGTAGCTAAGAGCTATCGGATCGAAAGACTACTCGAGCTTTTGAACTTGATCACTGACTACTAGGAGGATAAGTGGCTCTAGCCTCATATATAGTGAGAGTGGTTTAACATTTCAGATACATTAGCTTACCGCAAATAGTCTAATAAAGGTCCTTTATAAAATTCCGATATTTGGGTATAGGTTCATTGCAATATTCCAACAATTGCACGTAAGTTTAATCAACAGATTGGAAACAATTTACAAAAAAGGCCTTTTATGTCTCCAACATTTGAATATTGGAATTAAGATTGGCTAAAAAATTGGAAGAGATGGATTTGGATGAGTAATTCATCACTTTAGGTATCAAAATATTTATTTTATTAATTTTGTATAACGAATCTAATTATTTTGGAAGTATTCGGAATTTCAATTCATGACATTTTTTCGGCTTTGCAGATATTATTATTGTCAGCGATTAGTAAGATTATCAACATGTAATTGTTTTTATAGCAAAAAAGAAAACGAAAACTTAGAAAAGTGAAATTTATTTGAGAAAATAGACCCAAAATAAAGGATAGCAAATTTGAACTACATATATTTGATCAATATTTCGATTTTCAATAAATTTCTTGTTATATAAACTTTTCCCAAAATTCCAGAAGCAAAGCTTCTGTTTTTACTTTTACAAAAGAAGTTATATCAAATAGTACTGAATTGATATTTAAATGGTTATCATATCCAATAAAAATGGTTCAATCTAATGTGACAAAATTGTAGACAAAATTTTGTGAAACGGAATTATGCGCAAAATTTTGCGACAGATTTGCGTAAATTAATTTTCACAATGCAATATAACAGTTATTCAGTATAAAGGAATAAACTGTGATTGTTCTCATTGCATTATTACACGTGGACATAGATTATTTATACAGGTAGTTTGCCAGTCTCATTTGAATGAGCATTTACACAGACGATATTTGGACAATACCAGACAAAACAAGTGACTGGGTCGTCTATATAAATGGCTCTTCCACGAATTTCATTCAGTATGTTCTACTTCATTTATTCCGATGGAAAATGCTAGTTGCTATCAAACTTTTCGCGTCATGGAATTTTGGAATTTCCTGCAAACGTAAAATAAGTGCTTTTTTAGAAACAAAATTATTGTCCAATCAAATTTGTATGGATGAAGTTTTCGCAAATACTACTTTGGAACGTTTGCAATCTATTTCCAACATGTTGTGTTAATCGTTTGAATGAAAGATGTCCCACCATGCTATATTTGCAATAAATATGACACTATTCTTCTTTTCAACGCTAATACATTTAGAAAAGCATTTATTGAATCTTTATGCAATTTGCAAACATCCAGTGCATTAATAAATTTGAATGTTTTTTCAGAATTGGCAAAGTATTGCTCACTTCAATATGCATTTTATTTATTTCGCTTTCTTCGTCTTCCAACTGGGCAACATTCAAACAACTGTAAGTTCATTTAAAGTTAAAAAATACAATATAACCCTGCAATATTCCGAAAATTTCAACATTTTAATATAATATGAGGTAGATAATTTCATGCAATTTGAGGAAGCGCAAACGGAGCAAACAGACCTATTTGATTTACCAGTGCAAAAAGTGAGTGAGGAACGGAATGTATCAATAAGTTTGCCAATGCAAGGAGTAAGTGGAGAAGTAGGAA